CAGTTTGGAGGTTAGCTCGTAGACAACACCTGGATGCTTCTCTGTAGGCCGGTACAGAAGAAGAGCAGCCCGAGCCTCCAGATGTTACTTTGGAGGAGGAATATATTCACCGATATCCTTTATGCAATGTTTGCTTATATAGTCCACTTCCACTTTTCACGGCCATCCAGTTTTGATTTCCGTTGAACTTTCAGTGTGTGGCAAGACGTTTGCCAAGGAGGCGGGTGCAAGTCCTGATGCGAGCGCGTTCGCACAGTGGTTTGCCTAACGAAGGTGGGCGTACGATAAACGAGACGTGTGCATCGTTTGCCTGAACCGAAGCGTACACACACGTTATACGTTGGCGAACGTAACCGGCGTGTGGTGTCAAAGATAGCCTCCACCGGCAGTTGGAACTGGCTAGGCTGGAGTAGGAGATGGGTTGTGTAGTTGTAGTCTGAGAGTGGCACTCGCAGTTCAGTGCACTCTCTGGAATAGTTTGCATTCGCATGCGGGTCCACAGGAGGTAGGTTTGGGCGACATGAGAAGGAGGAAGGTTTCCTGTACAAGCATGTGACAGAACGGTGTTAACACCAGCAACTGCTGAGAGTTTTGGCAGATGCTTGTTTCCGCAGTTGGGCACGGCAACGCACTGCGTGAGGACGACCACTTAAGTGTGCGAAGGAAGGTATGCAATTGTGCCTTTCCCAAAGCGGTTGGATGCATTCATGGTGAAGACATTAGATGCTGCCGATTTTATTTGGCGTGGATTGGCAAAGAAATGCTTGTGAAGGGGAGGAATAGCTTGCGTGTATGAAAAGGTGCAGCGGGTTTTTCGTGTGATGCCTGCCTTGTTCAGGGAGTGTACAGGGCAGTGCAGGACTCGGTTGACAGGGTGGCGAACTGCGCAGCAGAGGTTCACAGGGCTGCTGCTACTGGTGCACAGGGTGCGGTGGTGTGGCTGAGGCAGTTGGATGGTATGTTGGCTCGGTGCTGCTATTATTGGGTGAAGCGGAGCGTAGCAGCTGTTTTAAGTGAATTCTTTCTCCGAAGTGCCAGCATTGTCAGAAACTCCATTGCTCCGGTCTGTGAATGCTTCCGGTATACGTTACCCTTTCGGCACTGGTTCCTCCACAGGGTTCATTGAAGTGAATTCGGAGTGTGCTTCGACATGTGGCAAACTGTTTGCCTTAGCAGCTGGTGAAATGTATGGTGGAGCTGCCTGGTTGTTCAGAGGCTCAACAGGGTTGTTTCGACAACAAGGGGTGTAAATGGGTTGCCAATGCAGCGCGTGCAGCCCTAAGGGGTGTTTGCATTCGTAGCATACGCAGGCCGTTTGGAAGTTTGCGGCTGCCGTATGCACAGTCCAGGTTGGACTAGGACATGCGTTGCGTGCTGTCATGTGTGGGGGGTATTCGCAGTTCAGTGCACTCTGCGGAATAGTTTGTACTCGCATGCGAGTTCGCAGGAGGTAGGTTTGGGTGACATGACAAGGAGGAAGGTTTCCTGTACAAGCATGGGGACAGAACGGTGTTAATACCAGCGCGTGCTGAGAGTTTTGGCAGATGCTTGTTTCCGCAGTTGGGCACGTCAACGCGCTGCATCAGGACGAGCACTTAAGTGTGCGAAGGAAGGTATGCAATTGTGCCTTTCCCAAAGCGGTTGGATGCATTCATGGTGAAGACATTAGATGCTGCCGATTTTATTTGGCGTGGATTGGCAAAGAAATGCTTGTGAAGGGGAGGAATAGCTTGCGTGTATGAAA